GCAAACAATGCATACGACTACTACAAAAACAAATTTAATGACATAAAAAGGAAAGCCAGACAACACGAAGTGATCGTACAGAAACAAAAAGAAACGGGTGGAGGCTCATTAACGAAAGCCGAGCAACGAATTTTGCAATCCTCAGCATACACAGATTTAGTGTTAAAACTCGGAATATCGGCAAAAGGAAATGACGCGAGAGCGGACTCTGATGCTGTTGTTCGCCCTCAACCACTGACTCAACGAATGAGAAATGCGATCGAAAATGATTCCACTCCAAACGAATTTGATTCCGATTTTCAAAACGACGAATTTGATCTCGACATTCGTAAGTACCTTCATACGATTTCAAATATAAATTCAAATATTTTATTATATTTTATTTTGTTTCTTAATTTACAGCTCCATCGCAATTATCTATGGGTGTTACTTCACCATTGGGCCATTTGAATGTTGAAGACTCTGTTGATGATGTAACATTTTCAACATTATCGACACCTCCGTCTGCTTCTGCTCCAAACACGCATCGGAAAGCCCGTGATAATTCTGACTCTGATCTTGGTGATAGTAGCGTAAAGAAACGACGAATTGATAATTCATCTGGATCCCAAACACAATGTTAGCATAAAGTGTTTTCATACAGCTTTATATGCAATTCAAATGTCATAATAATAATTTTATTTCTTGATTTGCAGCTCAATCAATCTCGAACAATTCTCGTTCATTGCCTACCCGTTTGACTTTCGATGGGATTTTTGGTAAAGCTCCTTCTATCTCTTCTGCTTCAAAAGAAGCTCCGTCTACCTCTTCTGCTTCAAAAGAAAAAAGGCCTCCAAATCGCCGTAAATCCACTTTTGATGATGATTGTGATATATCAAGCAATGATGATTTGAAAGTAATATTCACCGAAAACTTGTTGAACCAACGAGAAAATCACATGATTCAGAAAGAAGTACTGCAGCTTCAAAAACAAAAACTGACGAAGCAAACGGAAATTGACATCAAGGCAAGTGAATTGGAATTGGAAAAGAAGCAACTTGAACTCGACACCGCTCGAGAGCTGGCTAAAATCGAAACGGACAAAAAACGAAAATTGGCTGAACTTGAAATAAAGAAATTGGAAAAAGACTTGGGATTGGAAACGGTAGAACAAAACAATCAAAGCTGTTAAAATATAGTATATCTCAAAAATCAGAACACATATCCAAGATTTCATATTCCAAAAAATAAATCACCAGTTTGAAGAAAACAAATTTGTACAACTTTTTTCTTGACATTATTATTGAAAGTAATTGTCAATCAGATAATTTTGCAATCGAATTTGTTGTGAGTGTTGTGCGTGTTGTTGGAAATGTTCACTAATCTCAATCTGCTGTCTCTGTTCTAATGGTGTATAGTGTTTGGGTTTTTGGTCGAATTCTTTACGTAAATTGTGCAAAATGCAACAGCTTACGACAATATCTTGTGCAATTTTGTTTGTCTTGAATCTGAGTCCTATTTAAAAAAAAAAATTCAATACTTTGAACTAAAAATAAACATTTCGGTAACAGAAAAAATATTGTAAACACACCCATTCTTAAAATGGCAAATCGTCTTTTCAATTGGCCGTTGACTCTCTCAACCACATTTCTAGTTTTAATTTGACAATATTGATAGTTTTGTTTACCAACACTATCGACTGTTTCCAATGGTTTGCAAATAAAATAATTTGGTGGATATGCAGAGTCTGCAACAACTACCGAAGAATCGCCAAATGCACCAAAGCTGAAGCGACGATACATATTTGAATGGGTAAAAATTGTCGAATCATGTGCCGAACCGGGCCAACGTGACACGATATCGAGGACTCGATCCTAAAAATACGTAATTTGCATTAAATTTTTGATGCTATTAATGGCAAAATGTAGAGAAAAGCATATTTACGTCGGCTGAAACTGCCACTTGGCAATTGTGCGAGAATGTCATTTTTCGATTTCGATAAATCTCAGCATCATGACCTTCGTATGATTGAATGAGGACGTGCGTTCCATCCACTGCAGCGATGCAAAGTGGGAATCCGCTCAGCCGCATGAACTCCGATTTCGCATTCAGTATTTCTTGTGGTGTCCGTGGCAGTGAAATAAAACGATTTCGTAATTTACTGGCGATTAAATATGATACGTCAAACACAGATTTTTGGACAGTATCTCTAGTAACGCCGAACAAATCGCCGATAGCTTGATAGAATGTTCCAATGGCGTAAAACCGTAATGCAATCAGAAGTCTAGTAATCCCGGGTAAAGTAAAATTTCGACGTATGACCTAATGTGAAGTTAATTTCAAACTGTAGAATATTGGTAATGGAACTATTGAGCAAATAGCATTCTTACAATTGGATCCAATGTTCGTGGACCATCAATTAAATGGTACAGATATCCAACTTCGTCTTTGTGAAACCGAAAACGAGCCCTGAATTCACGCTTGTTAAATTCATTCATTGGGTCGATTCGGGTGCGAATATGGTTTCGTCGGACACGACGATTATTATTACGGCTGAGAAAATTCAAAATTTGAAGAGAAATCAAATCATTTTCACTATCAATACGATTTATCAAATTATTTAGTTCTAAATCTTCTTCATCCATTCTTGAATTATCGAGATATACTTTACTTTGAATACGTCACAATCAAAATCAAATTCACACGAAAATTGATCAAAAGTCAAGAGAAACAGTTTGTTTACAGTTTTGAAATGTCGCGACTGGACGCCACCTCGCGTTAATTCAAA